ATTTGTTTCAGGATGACGTCGTGCCTGAGTTGCGTCGCATGTGTACAAAACTGAAGCGCGCCACGCGGACCACTTGCTCCGCTTCCGGAGACCCCGCCAGTTGTTTGGTGCTTATTCAAGCCAGCAATGCTCCATCACCCGTGGAAATCGTTGCCCGAATATTTTTGAAGGCGCCGCCATGAAATGTCTAGCAGGGCAGTAGTAAATGGTGCCTGTTGGTTACTGGCTTCTCGGGGTTGTTCTTCAAGGAAGTCCAGCTTCCCGGAACGTTTTGTCCAGGAACTGGAGCACCACTGCTCATTCTTCTATTTTGAATTTGTTTCTGGGCCTGTGATCCAGGAGCCAAACTCACACAGTTTCATCTCAATCTTCCCGCAACTTTGCATTTTCGACTCTTTTGCGTCAATTTTACTTCATACTTACACACCTAACTTTTATCTTTACCTCACCTATTATAGCTTCAATAACATAACTATTTAAATTAAAATCAAATTCATACTAATTACCACAACAGTCAGTATGTGGTAATGGTAAGAAGTGTATACGGCTTAATGGACCGAAACATTTTTTATCATTTTAATATATTTTACAATATATTTCAGACTTTCATTAATTTCTTAATATCATAAGCTTTTTCTTCTTCCATCATTAAAAAAAATTTATTTCGCTTCTTGATGCGTGTGACGTAAGAGAAACTGATGCCTGTTTTTGACGTGAATAATCATTTTGAGCCGTAGGTCATGTTAAGACAGTTGCCGCAGCTGTAGGTTGTTTGAGTTGCAAGAACACTGATAATTTCACAACTTTAATGCACACGTATCCGTACGTGGCAGATAGTCTTTATGACCCGTAGTTCCGAAGATAATAGTTTTCCCCACTAAGATTTTTACGGGACGGTACGTGTTACCCGCGGGTACGGAGAAGCTGAATTTAAATTTGCGGGGTCAGATGTGGGTAGGGAACATTACCCTAAATTTTAAGTATCCTAGCTCTTGTGACTCCCGAGTTGAAGGTTGCGGACAATTTGCTGCGGACACGCACACACACACAGACAATCCTGTGACAATACGCGCTTTGTACGCTGTTACGCAGTACAAAACATATAATAATTGGCCAATGCACGGGCTATCCGTTCGAAGATGCATTTTTTGCATAGTTTACCGCAGATTTTTGTTACTGACGGCACTATTTTTTCCGGTTGATGCTTCTAGCTAAAAGAATTTCAGACTGGCCGCCAGGACTATCAGGAAGCATCCCTTCAAAGTTCCAGTTTTCTAGCTTCTCAGGTTCCTGAGTTAGCAACTTACCTGAAAAAAAAAATTCACAGGCCCGTACGTGAGAACCACTCATACCCGAGGGCTAGTTTTGAGCTCATTGATACCACGTGGATGGGGAACAACCCCTTAAAATTCCAATCGGTTAGCTTCTCAGGTTCCCGAGTTAGCAACTTACCCGAAAAAATTTTGGCAGGCCTGTGGGCGGGTACCACGCAAGCCCGGTGTCTGGATTTGAGCACATTGAGACTTATATGGACAGGAAACATCCCTTAAAATTACAGTCTTCTGGCTTTCCAAATTCTCGAGTCAGCTACTTACCCGAAAAAAATTTTGGCAGGTCCGTGCATGAGTACCACGCACATCCGAGGGCTGGGTTTGAGCCCATTAAGATTTACACGAGCGAGAACATCTCTTTAAAGTTTCAGCTTTCTAGCTTTTCTGGTTCGCAAGTTAGCGAATTACTCACAAAAAACTTTCACGGGCTCG